CCGATGAAGGAATCCTGCCCCCTCTCTCCATCAAAAATTCAACAGCTGAAAATAATCCTCCATCCCAGAATTTACCCATTTTAAAGACTCGCTCTCTGTTGACTTAAATGTTTAAAACAAATTTTTCATTGGGGCCTTTTTTTAAGTTTTTTTATACCCCCCTCCCAAAAATTTTTTTTATTTTCAGAAAAAATTGTAGATTAAAACCTCCCCTCTCTCTATAGTTAGAATCAGACCCCTGCCCGTTAAACCCCCTTTCTGGTTTCTTGAACAGAATGTGCCCCAGGCCATTCAAATCAAACCCCGCTTACACCGGGTTCTATGCCTGATACTGTTCCAGTATGCTTTAAATGGGGAAAAATAACTGGGAAAATTATTTTAAGAGAATGTTAAAAAACCCCCCTGACCTACATAATATCAACAATAACTGAGATTTAGTCAGTTCATGAGTCGGTCTATTGACAGTGACACCTGAGCTTGCAGCTGGCACCTGGAATTTCAGTGCCACCCCTCCCCTCCCCCCCTTTTGAAACCTTAAGGTGATAACTGAAGAGATTATACTTCTCAAGTCTATTTTCCCCTTTCCCCGAAGGAGGGATAGAAACGGGAGAGAAAGCGGCAACACTTTCTCAAGAATATTCAGATAAACAGGATTAAAAAAAACCCACATGTAATACTGTAGACGATGGCATCCAACGACACTGATATGAATATATTAGATAACTCGTAGACCATTATTATTATTATCATAATCAAGGGGGAAGCGCTAAACCCGGAGGATTATACAGCGCCTGGGGGGGGGGGGATGTGGAAGGCATTCAGGCTTAATTCGGGGAACTGGAGCACAGATCCAATTCCCTAATTCAAGAGCCCCTCACCAACATCAAGGAACCTTCCTTGAGGGAACTCGTAGACCAGTGGTAAAGATTTTACCTCATTTCCGAAGGGCCCAGGTTCAGTCCTGGTCACCGAGAAGATAATACGGACCTGTATATTAGCTTACTGTTGTGGGTCACATCATAGAGGGTGGAAGCATATTTTAGATAGGGCTGGGCTTTGAAATGAATTATGAATTTAACGACGTAAAGAAAAAAAATGGTTGATGTGGGAGGACCTGGCAACGCGACCTCTGGAGTACCTGTAGAATTCGGTGGTCTGAGTGCAGTTTAATAATGCACTTTTCAAACAAATAGATGAAAGCAGGAAAAATTAGACAAAAGCGAAGTAGCAACTTAAATCCAAGTTGCACAGTTGTGAATTTTTTTTAAAACATCATAATTAGGTATCCCAGAAAGGGGTTCCTATAAGTGGTTGATGTCGTGTATTTATCGAGGGCGCCTCATACGAACAGCTTCAAATTTTAAACACTGATGTTCTTTACCTAGAAAAAAAGTTCATGAAACTATTGGCATGCGCAGATGCCCTCTGGTTAATTCTATTTAGAATACTCCTGATTTTGATTTCTGTCCCACTTCTGACTGGCTTCAAGCTTTCAGGACAAGAGACGGTATAATAAGATACCCACAAATGTGAAACAAGACACAAGTGCAGAGTTATGATATTTTTACTGAGGAAATGTTTTGCCACGAATTGCTTCTTCAGTTGTACAAAGATAACCACAGACGGAGTGGTGAGGACTAGGAAAAGGAAGGGGAGGATCAGTGTAGTATGAAAATGTGGGAGAGGTGAGGAACCCGCCAGGAAAGGTCCAGTGGCCCATCACAGTGCTCTAGAACTCCAACTTTAGGTGATCGCCGGGTTCCGAAATGGTAAAGTTGCAACCAAAGTTTAGGCCACTCGTTCACCCATTGAAATATCCCAGACGTCACACAAGTGATACCTGCAGGCTGTCATTGGGGTTGCGCGCTCTCTCTCTCAACCTCGTTACGAGGCACACGTCTCGTCCTGTGCTCCCTGGCTTGACTCTGCTGCCACTTCCTTTCACCTCACTGTCAAGCCTTTGTCAATATGTTAATAATCCGGAGAATAAACCAGAGCAGTTATCGACATCTTGATCGACCTGTAAGCTCAGAAGCAATACTAGACCGGCCACACAAGCACTTTCCACTGAATTCGGAATACAGAACAAACTTAAATCATTCACTTGAACAAAAGTTCCATGTGCAAGATATATATATATATACCTTTGATATACCTTACCTTTGATATACCTTTGAAGAATTTCGAGAGTATATCTACTCTCTGAGCCCGGCCATGGGCCAGGCTCGTCTGGTGCTTGCCTGGTCAACCAGGCTGTTGCTGCTGGAGGCCCGCTGCCCCACATATCCATCACAGCCTGGTTGATCTGGCACCTGGTGAAGATACTTGTCTAGTTTCCTCTTGAAGGCTTCAACACTTGTTCCAGCAGTGTTTCTGATATCTTCTGGTAAGATGTTGAAAAGTCTGGGACCCCGGATATTGATACAGTGTTCCCTTATTGTCCCCACCGCACCCCTGCTCCTCACTGGGTTTATTTTACATTTCCTCCCATATCTCTCACTCCAGTATGTTGTTATGGCAGTGTGCAGATTTGGGACCAGGCCCTCGAGTACCTTCCAGGTATATATTATCATGTATCTCTCTCTCCTCCGCTCCAGTGAGTACATGTTCAAGACTTGCAGGCATTCGAGTAGTTTAGGTGCTTTACTGGCTCAATGTGAGCCGTAAACGATCTCTGTATTTGTTCCAGCTCCGATATTTCTCCTGCCCTGAACGGGGCCGTCAGCACTGAGCAATATTCTAAGTGAGGGAGCACTAGCGATTTGAAGAGTGTCACCATCGGCATTGTTTCCCTTGTTTTGAAAGTTCTCAGTACCCACTCAGTCATTTTCCTGGCTGTCATGATCTTTGCCTTGTTATGGTCTTTAAAAGAAAGGTCGGCTGACATAATTATTCCTAGGTCTTTTACGTGTTCCTTACGTTCTATTTGGTGACCCTCTTGAGTTTTGTATATAGTGCTCCTTTTGAGTTCTTCATTCTTTCCATATCTAAGCAGCTGGAACTTATCACCATTGAACGTCATGTTGTTTTCCACTGCCCACTGGAAAACCCTGTTTATGTCTTCCTGTACTTTTTCAGCGTCCTCTACCGTACTGACTTTCATGCTTATTTTAGTGTCATCTGCAAATGATGATACAAAAGTATGCCGGGTGTTTCTGTCTATGTCTGCTATGAGGATGAGGAACAGCAGAGGTGCCAGGACAGTGCCTTGGGGCACTGAGCTTTTGACCTCGTTGATGCTGGATCTTGCCCTGTTCACTACTACTTTTTGTGTTGTGTATGTTAGGAAACCGAAAATCCATCTGCCTACCTTCCTTGTGCGTTATCACTCCATGATCGCATTTGTCAAACGCCTTTGCAAAATCTTGGGAGTGATGTCAGAAGATTTCTCATTCAAGGGTCACAACAGAGTCGCTATCGCTTCAACAAGGAAAATGATAGGCTGGATAACATGAACGTTCAAGACATGAGATAAAGAACAATGATAATACTCTTCATGTCACTTTTTCTCTCCAGGATGGAATACTGCTGTATACTAACGGTCACCTTCAAGGCAAGCGAGACTGAGCTGGGAAACGTACAGAATGTATACAATGAAAATCACTGTCTGTATACATTATGGCCGAAATGCTATGGTTCTTATGAGGTTTCTCATTATTGTATATTTTGTATATGCAGTGACCCAAAATAATCTGAATAAACATCTGAACTACTGGAGTTTACCTGGAGAGAGTTCCGGGGGTCAACGCCCCCGCGGCCCGGTCTGTGACCAGGCCTCCTTAGGTCAGTGTCCCAGGATGCGACCCACACCAGTCGACTAACACCCAGGTACCCATTTTACTGATGGGGAACATAGACAACAGGTGGAAGAAACACGTCCAATGTTTCTACTCTGGCTGGGAATCGAACCCAGGCCCTCACCGTGTGAAGCGAGAGCGTTAACCACCAGGCCACCAGAGCTTGAACGTAGACGAGAGAAATACATTATAATGTGCAAGTGAAAAATGCTGGAGGGACTGGTTCCAAACATTTACACCAAAATCACTCCTTACAAAGGCCTGAGACTTGGCAGACGGTGCAGAGTACCTCCAGTGAAAGCATTGGCGAGCAACTACAGTAAAGGAAAGCTTAATAAGTGTCAGAGGTGCTCAACTTTTCATCGCCCTCCCTTTGTGCATAAGGGAAATTACCAACAAACTTCTGGGTCTCTTCAAGATGGAACCTAATAAGTTATTCAAATCAGTTTTTGCCCAGCCGGTCTGTGGTTCGCACGTTGGAATGCGTGCGGCAAGCAGCAACAGTCTGATTGGTCAGGCCTTGTTTGGGGCCGGGCCGTGGGAGGCGTTGACCCCCGAAAGCATCCTTCAGGTATCCAGACGACACAGTTCGATTATTCTTCCTGGATGACGAGTTTGGTCTCGTTGAATTTCATGAAGGAATCATGAATATTACAGTGGATGACGCAGACATTATACAGGTCACCCCAAGTACATACATTCCGGTGCTCACTTATAACGTTGCTCCAGGCTCATGGCTGTTTCCCCAACATAATTAAAATCATAAGTAAATAGAGCTACCAGGATGAAGAGAAGGGTGATTATTGATATTTATCTCAGAGCTGACAGATTTCCACTCCTGTTACATCAAACGTTCACTCAGCTCCAGTGTCCCTCCTACTTTATTAATGGTTGTTGGAGGGCTCTATAGCCCAGTGAGGCTATAAACAAAAATAGTAGGCTATTCACATGGTAACTTAAATACACAGGACGGTTTAATCCATTCAAACTTTTTATTTTAGAAAATAATACTAAGGGATAATGACTGTTGAAAAATTACCTAATTCCTTTTCGTTTAGGCTTCACAGTTATATATCACTTGTCCCTGGTGTGGGGCATTTGAAACCTCACTGATAAGCTAATAAACTGCTTTCCATCAAACCACGTTTAGATTTTTGGCGATCATCTTAGGAGACAGCACTCTCCTGCCTGTGTATCGGCCACATGCGCCTCGCTAGCGGATACTTCATGGAGAAACGACCTTCATCGCTCTGCGAGGACTGCCAGGTTGTAGTGTTAGTTCACAATATAGTAAAAGACTGTCCTGGCTATCAGTGGACACGTAGAATTAATTCACTTCCGATGTCTTCACCGCCCCAGCACACTTTAATTCAGTGGTGACACCACCGGGGCTCCGGGACTTCAGCCGTCCCCCTAATTTTCTTCAGTCCCAGAAGCCCCCTTCTTTTTAAAATGATCCATTATTCAACATATTCTTAGGTATAAATCTGTGCTTATACTAGATGCAGATAACCCGCCATTTAATAACACTTGGGAAAAAACAGGAATTCCATGTGTTAATGAAAAAGTTATTGTACTTGTAGAACTGAACTATAAAGAAAAAAGTTGAGCAGCCTGTGAGGCCAGAACCGTAAACAGGAACCATTCACTAGCGTGAAGGCATCCCTCCCATCACTAAAGGGGGGCAAACCCTAGCTGCTAGCTTGGTATCACTCCTTCGTAATGTATTGATAAACACATCCCTCGCTCGTGATGAGCCAGACTTTTGCCACAGATTGCATTTTACTCATTTATTATTACCCCTGCGGTAAAACGGTAGGGATCCTATGGAAACTGTGGTGGGTAATCAGTTATGATTCAACGAAAGAGTGAATGTCTCCATTTTCTTGGAGAAAGACCGCTTCACTAGCATTAAAGCACTTGTTTTAAAATGATATTATACTACCTGACCTCGCCTTGAATCCCGTCCAAGGTCAGTTGAATTAAATACAAATCCTTGCTTCAGTGTAAGGTTTGGGAGGCGTGTTGATGCCACACTGATAACCCAATTATCCGCACACACATCTTCCTTGCGCTATTTGTTGGGTTCACACACAAAAAATAAGAGTGAAATTTTAGATATCTTTTGTTTAACTGCTTTCTGCTGTGTTCTATTATTTGTTTTCTCCCTCTCTCTCTTCCTCTCGGGGTCTGTATTTTATAGCTCCCTTCAATATTTATGTTTTCTGCATTCATTTTCTTTTGATCATTGGGCCTCGCACACCGTCCCTTTTTTTTTGCCTTCTCCCTCTCTCAACCTCTGTCTCTTTTTCTCACGCCCCTTCCTTTCCCTTTCCTATCGTCTTCTTCCTCTCTGTCCCTCTTCATCTTCTTTCACTATTTTTCTCTCACGTTTCTCCCTCTCTCTGCTATTCCCCTCCCTCCTTCACCCTTTCCCTCTCTCTGACATTCCCCTCCCTCTTTCACCCTTTTCCCTCTAACACTCCATCTCTTCCTCTATTTGACCCTCTTCAACTCTGTATTTTACCCCTTTCCTTTCAAATTCTCCCCCTCTCTCTTTCTCAGTCACCCTCGGTGGGAGGTGGTCACTCTCTCAAGTTTAAAACATAGGTAAATGACCAGACCTTCTGTACTAGTGTAGAGGTGAGATGAGCAGCTGGAGTTGACGTCACATATAAGCGTCACCAGCTAGTGGAAGTAGGTGTCGCTAAAAAAGTTTTAGCAAAGCAAAATAGTTGCACAAATCGCTCGTACCAAGATACCATGATGATGTTGCTGCGTCAGATTATCATCATGTTATTGATGGTATTCAGCACTGTATGCATGTGACGTCAGCTCCAGCTGCTTCATCTCGCCTTTACTCTAGTATATATATATCTGGCCGCGTGCCCGTGCTTGAGGCTTGAGGAGTAGTCACATCAATACTTATATATCATCTGCTTCCAGTGTTGTTTTCTTCTGTATCCGACTGAAGAAACCTGTTGTGCAGGCTGAAGGTTTCAGCAATAAAGATACCGAAGTGTTGCACGTGTGTCTTATTCATTAACTTGTCGGTATTTTATAACATCAATAATACGATTCTGTGACTTCATCTAGAGTTTCCATGACTCACCTATAGCTATATAAAAGGTTCCATCCTCATGCTTCAGATTTCTTATAAATCGATCATAATTATAACCTTAATTTGTAAAGGAGTGGAACAGTAAGCCAGCGGAAGGCCTCAATCAGATGACCAAGAGCTCCAGCTGCGGGTCATAATATGACTATGACCCGCGTCAGGAAACACTTGTCCTATTTCCTGACAAGCCTTACCTGGCTTCAGCTTCACATTGTTCTAGACCATGGGACCGAACGCTTCTCCAGGCTGAGGGACTGGCCAACTCTACACTTTTTCTTCAAGGCTGATGGACTTATTACATCATCTTTACCTCTCCTCTGTTTCTGCTACCTCCTCTGTATTCGACTGAAGAAGTCTGCTGTACGGGCGAAACATTTTTAAAATAAATATGTCTAACTCAGTGTTTACTTGATGGCAAAGCTGAGGAAATCCCTTTCTAAGTGCTGCATTGTTTCTATGTAAAACTTACGCGAATTTTGTTCCATTATACAAGTCCACGGATTGCACTTAATTTGTCAGCAACCGAGACAGTTATAGTATCAGAGGTAAAAGTATGTTGATGTGATAGTCTCAGAACTACTAGTACACAGCTAAGTGAATGGCAGTGGAGTAACATGAGTATTAAGATAAAAACGGAACGATTTTAATAGAGGTAGTTGTAGTCCTCTCCTTATAGTTCCATTCCTTCTGTAAATTTCGTGTTTTCAGTGTGGTATGGTATATTTTCCCAATTTCTCATGCTAGCAGAGGCCGGAGATAGTTGTGAGTGCATAGAGAGCCTTCTGCTTTTTATCTTTGTCTCATAGATAATAAACAATAGTCCTTAATTTTGATAGGACATAGATCTCAGTTGTTAGTCTCATTGTGGACTTATAAGTCTTCTGCCATCTGTCATTTCCACATGCTGCCATGTGAGTGGCTCTATTCCTCAATGTAGGCCTATTCATTTTAATCTTTCCAAATTTCTTTGTATCTTTCCTTGCCCACATTTAGTCTTCTACCATGTCTCCTCTCTCTCCACAGCAATACCCGCTACCTGACAATTGGTATATCGTCAGTGTGGCGCAAGGACGACTACCTGACCCGCACTATTGACTCCATACTGAAGGAGACCACAGAGCATGAGCGGAGTGACATCCTAATTTTCCTACTCCTTGCCGACGCAGATTCTAACCTCAGGTACTTGTAGAGTATTTTATTCATCAGGAAAAAGTGTCTCTTAATGCGGGAGTAGTCAGGTGGTGACCACAACCTTTCCCATTTTGATTATTTTCAGATTGATTTCTTTGTGTATATTGGGGATCATCTTGATGGAATTGCAATCAGTCATACTTAAACTTGACGTTTAAGTCATCCTACAAATGTTACAAATAAATATTTTGCAATGTTGCATTTTAGGTACATTAAACTGGCATGTAATAATAAATAATTAAATATTTAACCTATGATATCCTAACAATGTTAATATAACTTTAATCCCATTTTGAGGTCCTGTATTTTGTCTCATTCATTTGAGTTATGATGTCGACACAATTCAGAGAGTGAGTTATGAAACAAGCAATGATAAATGTTAGAAAATACTAAGTTCTACCCACTTTCAGAGTGGACTGACGGGCTCTCAGATCCTCCCTCTGTGTTTTTTCAGTAACTGCCCCTCACTTGGGACATCTATCATGACTGATAATCACCTTTATAGGTGGATGAATTATGCTCAGAATTTGATTTATGAAAATTAAAGTGCTAATGAACTATATGATTATGTTTTTGTTAAAGAGAAGGGAAAAGTTACAATTTTATATCGCCGACGGATTGATGATGTGTCTATCATAATAAACAAAACTATACGATACTACTTGACCATACAACTCAACAGTAATTTCTTTAACACGTTGTCCTAGATACTTAAAACTGCCCAGGTTACCTGCTTCCCCAGATACCTTTGTAGATCTTAGACAACCCGAAGCAAATTAATCATTGGGACCCAGGAAGAACCCTCCATTTTTCTTAATCCTGGTGTTTCCTTTACACAGGTTCCCTTGTCCTGTCTTCATTTATTCAAGCAATATGATGAAAAATATTTAGGGAGTGTCTTGATGCTGTCGTGGTTGTTAAGAGGTGTATCACCAGAGTGTTCGACATTAATTCGATATTATTGTTCCTCCAACTATTACCCCTTTTCCCTCCTTTGCAGACTGATGCTTCAAGCACGTCACTTAATTAAGTCGTCTTACAAATTATAATTAATACATGACAGTATGCAACTCTAGTAAATCATGAATATTACATCATGTGACATATAGATCGTCACAGGTAAGTGGGCATTGTTCTTCTCAGCTAATATTGAGTAAAAAAAACATGGTTCATGATGGCAACACTCTTTCTTCTCCTAGACTGAGAGGTGACTAACTTTATGACTGTAATAATGTTGGTAGAATTACCGATAATATGTCAAGTCATTACGGCTTGACAAAGCTCATGGAGAGCAAAACGTTGCCACAATAAAAATGTCGCATTAGCTGCACATGCGTCCTTTTATTTATGGTTCCTCTCCGTCTCCTGAGAGGAAAAATATTAAATCATGCTCAGACTGTTCTGTTAAGTACCATGAAATCCCTTGCTTGAGCTGTAAAACATGGGCTGTATAACTGGGGAGCTCCTAAATCGTGGACCAAAAGTCTCATTTCCACACAATCAAGAAAATGTATTTCACCCAATATCTCCCAGTAGCTGGCTTGTGTAAAACAGTTAAGAGATGATTCTAAATCGTCTCGTGCATAAAATCAAATAATTTTTTGTCTCCTCAGTTGTATGGTTTCATGCTTGGAAGGAGTACGCATCAATGCATAGGTATGGTGACCTTAGACTTCGAAAACAGCATTCGACACAGTTAACCATAACATATTATGTAAGAAACTACAAGAATAGCTTGTAGGCTCTGTAAACTGGTTAAGTTCTACCTAAAGATCAGGAAACAAATTGTCGAGATCAACAATACAGAATCAGAACCCTGCCGATAGCATGTGGGGTTCCCCAAGGTAGTTGAGGAAAATTTTGATTTTCCTAAATTCAGTATGTGTAAATTTGAATAATACAATAATTGTGTAATAAAACATGAGGCTGAGCTGACCCTTTTGAGAAATTTTGAGTGAGGGAATGTACAACAGCCAGTAGTGACACCAGAAAGGAGACCCCATTTTTGTAATTTTTGAGCACTGGTTGTCGTGGAAATTCTGATCCAAATTGGGAGGTTTCAGCCTGAATTTGTAATAGGAACTCGTGTTAATGTCCCCTGCTGAAGAATTGGGACATGAAACTTGCGGGACCTCAAGAATTACATGTGGATTGCGGAAGATAAGGGATACAACTATCACTCATAGGGAAGTGCACCATTAGCCCTTGCATTTAGATTGCCAGCTGGCCAGTGTAGGATCTAGGTGTCAGGCCAGTATTGTGGTGTGATCCATCTACAATAATTAAATGGTAAGTGTTAATATGAATTTATTTTGTGTACCCAGCAAACCTAATCATATACAGTCCACAATTTTAATTTACCAGATTAGATGGTTTTAATATTGAAATTATTAATTTAATATCAGGTCTAGCTTTTCATGAGAGTGGTGAAGAAGTGGGCATCGAGGGGGTTATAGATTGGTGATCTACTGTGACTTAAGTCCCACTTATCTCACCCAAATTACTTGCATGTAATAATAAATCTCATGCAGGTAATTTACTCACATAATAATTCAAAGCAGTATTCTGGGCTCTTTACTATTTTTATGTTATGTCAATGACATACCCATCAGTGTCAAGTGTAAACTTATGTTGTATGTAGACAGCGCACAGTGCTGTACTAGTCTCAGGTAAAGACCTACATGACGTATCGTTTCACTTGACATATTGTCAAGAATTCTATCAACATTATTACACCAGTGACACCACCAACAACTCCAAACCAAATAAATGTTGGAGAAACATCTAGAGACCTTCATACATGCATTTCTGAACACCAGTATGCCAGAAGTATGAACCACCTGAACAATGCCTGTATTTTAGACAAATTCTCACAGCCACTTGATAATAATGGCACACGACTCATTTGTCAAAGAAGACACATCGAAACTCAGGATTCTGGAATTATCACAGATCAGCATATCAAACAACTTCACCCAAAACAAGGCTTACACACTATAGCTGAGCCTGGAGTTTTGAGACTCTCTGACCACGGGTTCAATCCCGGCCGGGGTATGGTTTTTCTGAGCCTCTTGTCAGGAAGCTTCTTAATCAAACTTGACCTCACACTAGCAGGTCACAGTAGAGAGGAAAACTGTTACAGACCTGTCTCAAGCTAGCCAGGTTTTTCTCTAATCCAACCTTTTACAAGTCATATATCTGTCAAAATTGTAACCCAAGAAGCTTCAATATATCTCACCTGACTTTTCACATCATGACATTCCCTATATAATCACGCATTCTTTCTCCCCAACATTTTGCCCACACAGTGGGCAAAATGTTGTCAATAAGGGATCACATTATACTACACTTGTGTCTTTATCCATCGTTTCAGCAATTTATATTTCTTTCCCTTGTTATCTCTTTGGTTCCTTTCCTTCCATTCTTGTTTTTTAAACACTATATATCATTACCGTTAGTCCATTCATCACTCCTCGTAAAATATAAACTGTTTCAATTATTTTCTCTGCATGCAGGTCTCAGCGTGCCCTGGACTTGGGAGTTCGCTACAACAATGAGATCCAGACTGGCCTCTTGAGGGTGCTACAGCCCCCACCCATCCTTTATCCCAGCATCGACTTCACTGCCATCAGAAGGACGTACAATGATTCTGTGGCCAGGGTGCAGTGGCGAACCAAACAGGTGAGGAGAGTTATAGTGTGTGCTTCTAACCGGTTTTGCTGTTAACTGTATAAAATGACATAGTAATACTAGTGTCGTGTCTAGGCAAATGTTAACAGATGGGTTGCGCTTTCAGGTTAGGTTTTGTAACCTGATCAAACATTACCTAATTTAATTGATACCTTATCTAACCTAATTGATCTTCATTAATATCTCCTGAAATAAATAATTACACAAGAAATACTTCTTCCATGTTCCATGCCCAATGAAAGGTTTGTTAATGCAGGGGAAGCCTTGATCAAAGGAATTGGACCTGTGCTCTTCTTTGGACCAAACCTGGATGCCTCCTATTTCCTCAGCCACTGCATGACCCCTATGGGTTTAGTGTTCCCCACAAATGTAAGAATAATAATATACAGTAGGGCCCCACTTATACAGTGGGTTAGGTTCCAGGCTACTACCGTAAAGTGAAAATCGCCGTAAGGTGAATCTCACTTTTTTCATTTATAAATGCATACCAATGCTTCATTCATAACATGTTTACACTATCATATATTAAGATACCTAGGCATTAAAAAACAACAAAAAAGTAAAATATGCATATAGTACACCCAGTGCTTATCTTAAAACATTTGTAGTCTTAATGTAGGTGGGGGGGTGAGTAGTATTTATTGTAGGAAGTTAGGTGATAGGTATGGTAGCTTGCCTGGCTACCACACCTACAGGTAATATACGACATTTAAAGTGCCCCAGAGTGATAAAATACACATACATACAGTCAAAGCAAATCTAATATAACTGGGTAAATGTTAAATGCAATTGCAGTAGAACCCCCGTATCTGCGTATTCAGTATCTGCTGTTTCAGCTATCCATGGTTTACTGTGGCCCAAAAATAACCTTTAATTTTGCTAATAAATGCCCTAAAGCTTAAAAGTAGTGATGCTGGCAGTTCTTCAAAGTCTAAGAGAAGCCTTGAAATGTTTTGCCATGATAGGTATGTATGTAAACGAAATATAACTTTATATATATATACAGTAGGACCCTGCTTTACGGCGTTTCACCTTGCGGCGTTCCGCTAATACGGCGATGTCAAATTATGACCAAAATTTGCTATACGGCAAGCAGTCTTTCAAATATGGCGTCCCCCACCGGTTTCTTTACATTCTCCGTAACCACATCTATTATGTCAGGAAACTTTCCAAAATTTCAAGTGTTTTAAAGTTACTGTGTATTTTATATGTACTCTGATAATTATACTTATGTGTACCTGTACCTAAATATACTTACACACTGTGCTGGTGTGCAGGTACACATTAAAATCGCTAGGTCTCTCTCTATTCATGACGCCAATACTATGCAATAATAATCACTCTTGGGCATATTAAATGTCTTATTTTATATTAATATAGGCATTTTCATTAATCCATCTATGGTATTTTCCTCAAAAATTATATATGAAACCCATTACATAGCATATATAACATGATACATACACTCACAGAATAAAAATTGACGTAAATATGAGATTTGTTTACAAAGCAGCTGTGTAGGTAAATGTCTGAAGAATTACGTTTTTCTCTAGTCAAACACTGGGGGATAACTGAAGAGAAATATTCTTTTCGTATGCCTTTACTCTATATATAGCAATTCATGACCCTTGTGGGTTTAGTGCTTTTTATAATAATAATATTATTATTATTATCTGTCGTAGTGATCCAGTAGCTGAGACAGACAGGAGCGACCCGCTCTAAACCCATGTTGCCCTGAGTTGTGTAATTGGTGGGTATCTAGATGGGTGGCAATCTTGCTTCTTAGAACCCTTTCAAAGTTTTTATGATATGGGATGTTAGTGCTATCGGTCTGTAGTTCTTTACTATTGCTTTACTGCCCCCTTTGTGGAGTGGGGCTATGTCTGTCGTTTTTAGTAACTGCGGGACGACCCCCGTGTCCATGCTCCCTCTCCATAGGATGGTAAAAGCTTGTGATAAGGGCTTCTTGCAGTTCTTGATGAACACGGAGTTCCATGAGTCTGGCCCTGGGGCAGAGTGCATGGGCATGTCATTTATCTCCTGTTTGAAGTCATTTGGCATCAGGATAATATCAGATAGGCTTCTGTTAACCAAATTCTGTGCCTCTCTCATAAAAAAATCATTTTGATCTTCGACTCTCAGTCTGGTTAGTGGCTTGCTAAAAACTGAGTCATATTGGGACTTGAGTAGCTCACTCATTTCCTTGCTGTCATCTGTGTAGGACCCATCTTGTTTAAGTGGGCCCAATACTGGATGTTGGTCTCGACTTTGATTTGGCATAAGAAAAGAAATACTTTGGGTTTCTTTCGATTTCACATAAGAAAAGAAATACTTTGGGTTTCTTTCGATTTCATTGATGGCTTTTAGTTCTTCCCACGATTCCTGACTCCTATAAGATTCCTTTAGCTTAAGTTCGATATTTGCTATTTCTCTGACCAGTGACTCCCTACGCATTTCAGATATATTGGCCTCTTTTAGCCGCTCTGTTATTCTTTTCTGTCGCCTGTAAAGGGAGCGCCTGTCTCTTTCTATTTTACATGTACTCCACCTTTTCTTAAAGGAATAAGCCTTGAGCATACATCGAGTGCCACCGAGTTAATCTGTTCTAGGCATAAGTTGGGGGTCTGTGTTGCTTAGTCTATCTTCCCAGCTTATATTGTTTAGGACTTGATTTACTTGGTCCCACTTTATGTTCTTGTTATTGAAGTTGAATTTGGTGAAGGCTCCTCGTGACTAATCTCATTTTGTTGGTCTGGGGCTCTGTGCATACATGTCTGAACCTCGATTATGTTGTGATCTGAGTATATTGTTTTTGATATGGTGACATTTCGTATCAGATCATCATTGTTAGTGAAGGTGAGATCTAGTGTATTCTCCAGTCTAGTAGGCTCTATTATTTGCTGCTTTAAGTTGAATTTTGTGCAGAGATTTAAAAGCTCGTGTGTGTGAGTTCTCGTCAGAGCTGCCTCCTGGTGTTATCACTGCAACATCATTATTTGCTATATTCCTCCATTTTAGGTGCCTCAAGTTGAAATCCCCCAGGAGCAAGATGTTGGGGGCAGGAGCTGGCAGATTTTCCAGACAGTGGTCAATTTTTGACAGCTGTTCCTGGAATCGCTGTGCCTACTATATACAGTGGTCCCTCAATAATTGTCCGGCCTGAAAGTCGTCCATTTCGGAAATAGTCCCGTTATTTCGTCTAAACATTGGCTCGCAAATGGTCCGTTAACTCACTAATCATCCTTCGTCCGGGACGGGTACTCATGCTCTGAGCCGCCTGGGCCTGCCTTCCCAGCCAGTGAGCCATTGTTTACCAGTGAGCGACGGTCCCCTCACATGCTCCTATGAAATATTTCATAATATTCCATTGATATTAGTGCTTGCAAGTGCTAAATAAGCTACCATGGCTCCAAAGAAAGCTTCTAATGCCAGCCCTTTGGTAAAGAATGTGAGAAACACATAATTTATGAAAAAGTTTGTAGAAAAATACAAAGGTGGTGGTGGTGGTGGTAGAGTGGAAGCAGTTGTGATAGTGGTTGATGGTGGTAGTGATAAGATAAGATAAGATAAGATTTCGTTCGGATTTTTAACCCCGGAGGGTTAGCCACCCAGGATAACCCAAGAAAGTCAGTGCGTCATCGAGGACTGTCTAACTTATTTCCATTGGGGTCCTTAATCTTGTCCCCCAGGATGCGACCCACACCAGTCGACTAACACCCAGGTACCTATTTGCTGCTAGGTGAACAGGACAACAGGTGTAAGGAAACGTGTCGAATGTTCCACCCGCCGGGAATCGAACCCGGGCCCTCCGTGTGTGAAGCGGGAGCTTTAGCCACCAGGCCACCGGGCCACCCCACCAGGCCACCGGGCCACCGATGGTGGTAGAAGGTAGTAGTGATGGTGGTAACAGTTGTAATAGTGGTAGAAGGTCGTAGTGATGGTGGTAGAGGGTTCCTTCTTTAGTGATTCAGCGATTCTACCAACTTCTCCAATGTTGTTGGAGTTATATAGGGCTACAGAAAACACCGCCGCCTCAGCTGCTGCTTCACTACCATTATGGATGGCTTACACTCAGTGGCCCTTATATACCCAACAACAACACAGCACAACACCTAGAGTATATTCCATGTTTCTATGTTATTAATATTGTTTATTATGTCATATTAGTTGAATTGTGATAGATAAATAAGCCATAGAGTTGATATTAGTGTCATATTCTCCAACAATAAACTTGCCATCCCTCCCTCACACAAACAAATCTCCAATAAGAACATAAGAAAGGAGGAACACTGCAGTAGGCCTGCTGGCCCATACTAGGCAGGTCCTTTACAATCCTTCCCACTAAAAACATAACAATGGAAGAACACTGCAGGTCTATTTGCCCATACAAGGCAGGTCCTTATCAAAATGACTTCTACCCAAAGCTACCCAAGAATTTACTCCCGTACCCAATGACACAAATCAAACTCAGCTCCTCCAACTCATATATTTGTCCAATCTCTTCTTAAAGCTACCCAAGGTCCTAGCCTCGATCACCCTACTGGTAAGTGTGATGTTAAATAAGAACTTAAGAAAGTAGGAATACTGCAACAGGCCTGCTGGCCCATACTAGGCCAGTCCTTCACAAATCCAGCCCAGTATTGGGCCCCTACTTAAACAAGATGGGTCCTACACAGATGACAGCAAGGAAATTAGTGAGCTACTCAAGTCCCAATATGACTCAGTTTTTAGCAAGCCACTAACCAGACTGAGAGTCGAAGATCAAAATGATTTTTTTATGAGAGAGGCACAGAATTTGGTTAACACAAGCCTATCTGATGTTATCCTGACGCCAAATGACTTCGAACAGGCGATAAATGACATGCCCATGCACTCTGCCCCAGGGCCAGACTCATGGAACTCTGTGTTCATCAAGAACTGCAAGAAGCCTCTATCACGAGCCTTTACCATCCTATGGAGAGGGAGCATGGACACGGGGGTCGTCCCACAGTTACTAAAAACAACAAACATAGCCCCACTCCACAAAGGGGGCAGTAAAGCAATAGCAAAGAACTACAGACCGATAGCACTAACATCCCATATCATAAAAATCTTTGAAAGGGTCCTAAGAAACAAGATCACCACCCATATAGAAACCCATCAATTACACAACCCAGGGCAACATGGGTTTAGAACAGGTTGCTCCTGTCTGTCTCAACTATTGGATCACTACGACAAGGTCCTAGATGCACTAGAAGACAAAAAGAATGCAGATGTAATATATACAGACTTTGCAAAAGCCTTCGACAAGTGTGACCATGGTGTAATAGCGCACAAAATGCGTGCTAATGGAATAACAGGAAAAGTTGGTCGATGGATCTATAATTTCCTCACAAACAGAACACAAAGAGTAGTAGTCAACAGAGTAAAAGTCAGAGGCAGCTACGGTGAAAGCTCTGTTCCACAAGGCACAGTACTCGCTCCCATCTTGTTCCTCATCCTCATATCTGACATAGACAAGGATGTCAGCCACAGCACCATGTCTTCCTTTTCAGATGACACCTGAATCTACATGACAGTGTCTTCCATTGCAGACACTGCAAGGCTCCAGGCGGACATCAACCAAATCTTTCAGTGGGCTGCAGAAAACAATATGAAGTTCAACGATGAGAAATTTCAATTACTCAGATATGGTAAACATGAGGAAATTAAATCTTCATCAGAGTACAAAACAAATTCTGGCCACAAAATAGAGTGAAACACCACGTCAAAGACCTGGGAGTGATCATGTTGGAGGATCTCACGTTCAAGGACCATAACATTGTATCAATCGCATCTGCTTGAAAAATGACTGGATGGATAATGAGAGCCTTCAAAACTAGGGATGCCAAGTCCATGATGACACTCTTCAGGTCACTTGTTCTATCTAGGCTGGAATATTGCTGCACACTAACAGCACTTTTCAAGGCAGGTGAAATTGCTGACCTAGAAAATGTACAGAGAACCTTTACGGCGCGCATAACAGAGATAAAACACCTCAATTACTGGGAGCACTTGAGGTTCCTGAACCTGTATTCCCTGGAACGCAGGTGGGAGAGATACATGATCATATACACCTGAAAAATCCTAGAGGGACTAGTACCAAACTTGCACACGAAAATCACTCACTACTAAAGCAAAAGATTTGGCAGACGATGCAACATCCCCCCAATGAAAAGCAGGGGTGTCACTAGCACGTTAAGAGACCTTACAATAAGTGTCAGGGGCCCGAGACTGTTCAACTGCCTCCCAGCATACATAAGAGGGATTACCAACAGACCCTTGGCAGTCTTCAAACTGGCACTGGACAAGCACCTAAAGTTGGTACCTGACCAGCCGGGCTGTGGCTCGTACGTTGGTTTGTGTGCAGCCAGCAGTAACAGCCTGGTTGATCAGGCTCTGATCCACCAGGAGGCCTGGTCACAGACCGGGCTGCGGGGGCATTGACCCCCGGAACTCTCTCCAGGTAAACTCCAGGTAAACTAACAGAACAAATGCTACCCAAGCAATAAGCTCAGGTGCAAGTCCTACTCAAATCCAACCCCTCTCACTCGTGTATTTATCCAACCTAAATTTGAAACTACCCAATGTTTTAGCTTCGATCACCCTACTAGGCAGACCGTTCCACTCATCAACTACCCCTATTACCAGTGTTCATTTATACATTTTATTAGTGCTTTACATTTATTTGGCATTTTTTTCTGCATGTAAATCAATATTTATGCTAGGGAAGTGACCCCTGAAGTGACATAGAGTCCTTATGGAAGGGGATTCCCCTTCCAAACAATAACCTCTCTTCCCTCTCCCCTCCTCCCTGTCTTCCATTCATCAACAACAGCTTTCAATAAAGGTAACTGTCATGTTGAATGTTCATTCTTTTGTGCATGTAAATCTATCTTTTAGGTAAAAAAAATTTTTTTATTGATACTTCTGGGTGTCTGGAACGAATTAATTGGATTTACATTATTTCTTATGGGGAAAATTGATTCGAAAATCATCTATTTCGATAATAGTCCCACTTCCAGAAACGGATCAAGGACGATAATTGAGGGACCACTGTATACAAAACATTAAACTCCAATATCAACCCTCCACTGAAACTTCTCCTAGACAGCTTCAACAGAACACACAGGCATAACACAAGGCACAATACACTTTTTGACATCCCTCATTTCTGTCTCGCACTATGCAAAAATGCAATGCATATAAAGGACCTGAAGATCTGGAACTCTTTGCCTGAAATAGCAAGAGGTCCCCTGCCCACAAATCAATTTAGGACTATACCAAAAATCATATCTCTCAATACCAACCATACCCACACTATGCTAAACTCTAACCAAATTCATAGCAACTCTCCCAAATATTTTATTATCCCTTAAATATTAAGTCATTATTACAAACTTGAAAATGTAAGTATCATTAATTGTACTACCTCATACTGATAAGAGTGTTAACAAACTTAATTCCAAAATTAAAAATGTATGTTTGTATCATAAATTGTACTACTTCATATTAGTAATAGAGTAAAATATTGAATATTTGTATTCTACCACTCTTCACTTGTCTAGACTTAGTCTATAAGTATTAGGTTAAGTCTGCCAGAAATGCCTTGGCATGATAGTGGCTTTCTCTGTTCCAATCAAATTATGAAATGTAAACACACATTGTAACCTTAGCAAAGAAATACAATTTTTTTTTATTTTTATTTTTAGGGGACCTGAATAAACTAAAAATAAGTCTAATCTTGTATAATAGTATTTAAACTTAATTACTTCTCTTACCAATATAATCTGCATGTATTTTATACTGGATATGACAGTTTTCTTCCCAAAATAACTATAACCCAATATACACACCCATCATTATCAAAGTTGCCTCCCTCAGGTGCTAGATTTTGCATTCCTCTTCTGGTATGTATGGACGCGTCACCCGTCCACCTATTACCTGGTGCTGGAGGATGATGTGCTCAGTGCCAAACACTTTGTTACTGCCATCAAGGACTTCGTAACTCTCCATAGGAACCATCACTGGATATCTTTACAGGTTGGCATGCTTATAACCCATTACTTCCCATCTCTTCTTTCATCAATATTCTTATATGCTTTAATTGTGTGTTGTGTAGGGATCATTATATAACAACCATAAGGCACTACAGGCTTACAAAACTTTTTTTAAGTCCCTGGTTCAGTAAGGATATTCGGCAGTTTATTCCACACTGTTGCCATACCAGTGCTTTCTTATCAGCTCATCTTCTTAATAACAGTTAGTAATTCACAGCTGCTAATACAGGTAAATGGATGACTGTTTATGAGCCTTAAACATTGATTTTGTGAATGTGTGTTTTACAGTGTGTTTGGTGAGATCCCATTTTCTGTTGGCACCTCTAAACTTTTTATCCCCTGTATACAAGTATTTCATTTATTGCCTTTACAGTATGTTATAATTGGTGAATTTCTATTAATAGATTGTTTACAATAACCAAACATAAAAAATGCAGATTGATAAATTTGCTTAAAACCATATAGGTTGCTATTTTTTTTTTTCAACGAACCGGCCGTATCACACCAAGGCAAGACGGGGTTATTAGCCCCTTGCTCCCAGCATTTTAGTAGCTCTTACGACATGCATGGCTTATGGAGGAAGATTTCTGTTCTACTTCCGCATGGAAATCAGAGGAAATAAAGAACAAGAATTAAGAAAATAGAAGAAAATCCAGATGAGTGTATGTATATCTGCGTGTACATGTATGTGTAGTGTAACCTAAGTGTAAGTAGAAGTAGCAAGTTATACCTATTATCCCATGTGTTTATGAGACAAAAAAGACACCAGGAATCCTATCATCATGTAAAACAATTACAGGTTTCTGTTTCACACTCATTTGGCAGGACAGTAGTACCTCCCTGGGCAGTTGCTGTCTACCAACCTACTTCCTAGGAGGTTGTTCTTGTATAGTTCAGAATTCAAGTACTGTACTGTACACCCAAGGATACATGAAAGCCCTGTTTTAGCAGTATAACTAGCTGTAGAGGAGTGAAAAAAGTAACAAATAATGTCATTTAAGAGAGCACTTTGGGTAGTTTTAAAAATAGGTAAGACAGGTATATAAATGGGTATGAGTAGGACCTTCTGCAGCACACCTTCTTATGCTCTGGATGGCATTGCATCAATCACATGGACAGCCCATAAGTTATGCAGAGGATTTAGGTGCTTTTTTAACAATATTAGTCAAGATGTTGGTAGATTAGGAACTGTTGGCTTTCTCAAGCAATGAGTTCCAAATTTTTGGACCATTTATTTGCATGGATTTTTTGAACAGGTTGAATATACAGTAGACCATTGTTTAACATGCTAGTTATGTTCCTGAAAACGCCGTTTTAGTTAAAATCGTGTTAGACAAATTGAAGAACTTGTGTCGAAAAACAGGGTTCTGTTTCTAGGAGCCCCAAAAAAGCCAAACAACTTGTTTTTTAGACCTCCAGATCTTTCAAAAATAAAAGTGAATATGTAATTGTAGTGCATTGTTGTGATGTTTTACATTGTTTTTACTGCTTAAGATTACAAATGCAACAGCAATAATAGTATTTCTTACCTTAATTTTATGTACACAAAGAGACGCTTCATTATGGTCACTGGCTTTCTCTTAGTCTAATATCTATTTTCCAGGTGTATATAATCATGCATCTCTCCCGCTTGTGTTCCAGGGAGTACAGGTTCAGGAACTTCAAGCTCTCCCAGTAATTGAGGTGTTTTATCTCTGTTATGCATGCCTTGAAGGTTCTCTGTACATTTTCTAGGTCAGCAATTTTACCTGCCTTGAAAGGTGCTGTTAGTGTGCATCAATATTCCAGCCTAGATAGAACAAGAACTGCTACATGTACATGTTCCTACAGTACATGTTCCTCATATTTCGTCCGTTCGTTCTGTTGCGGCACTCCAGATAGATTTAATATTCTGGGTTAATGTTTGAGTTGAGAGTCCTGTAGACATAGCATGCACAGTAGAAAGTGGAGTGTGTGTTGCCTGGATCCTGAATGAGTGATTATTCTGAGAGCTGATTTTTGCTGAGTAACAGCAAACTTAATTGAGGTCAGTGGTCACGTGTGGTCATACCTGTCCTAAGCTCTCTGGGAGTTAGGGTGGAGTGTTTCCAAGCACCATGGCTTGTTGTAGCGTTTTAGAATCTCAGGTTCAGGTGTTGAAGAAGGAGGTTCTATTTCTTTAAGAGGAAAATAGGAGGCTGAAGCTTCGCCTAGATGAGTTTGGGAGTGTGAGAAGTGGCAGCTACTTTAAGTGGCAAGTGGTTCACAGTTCAGGAAGAAGGAAGATAAGGAGGGTTAACAAAGAAGATGTGAAGGTAGGAAATCGATTCTCTGTTCTCCAGGATGAGTGCACTTCAGTGTTTAGTGAGGTTGAAGGTACCACTGATTCCCCTGTTAATCAAGGTAAGAATGTTTTAATTGTAGGAGATTCTCAAGTAAGATATATGGACTGTGCTTTTTGTAACAGAGATAGAAAGGTCAGACAGAGGGTGTGCCTTCCAGGAGCTGGTGTTGGTGACATAGTCAGCAGGTTGGATAATATTATGTCAGGTAATGGGAACAAGCCCATTATCTGTCTTAGTGCTGGGGGTAATGACATTGGAAAGGGCAGGAGACAGGAGCTGCTGGATAAATACAGGTCAGCCATAGAAGTAGTCAGGTCTAAGAGAGGGATCCCAGGCATATGTAGCATCTTTCCTAGAAAGGGAGTGGGCAATGAATGGATGTCTAGGGCAATTGGTATAAATTGCTGGCTAGACAGGTACTGCAAGGAACTTGCAATCCCATTCATTGATAACTGGGATATATTTTATGGCAAATGTGATAAGTATGCAAGGAATGGGGTTCATCTCTCTGGGGCTGGAGTGGTTGCATTAACCAATTCGATTTCGGGAGTAATTGATGACTTGTCAAGGAATTTAAACTGATAGATTATAGAGGTATGGGTGTTTGTGGGAAACAATCAGGCTGCAGTATTAGGGCTGAAAACAGCAGATATTACCGGGATACCTCAGGGATATGTTTAAAAGACAATATTCAAAATAAAGTTGCTAGTAAAGGCAAATCAATTGATCAACAAACAAAGAGAGATAATAGAGGGCAACGAGTGACTAGCTCCCTTTAAGGTTTACTGTGCAAATAGTAGGAGGCTAAGAAATAAGATAGATAAGCTAAGATTACAGTGGACCCCCGGTTAACGATTTTAATCCGTGCAAGAGGGCTCATCGTTATGCGAAATAATCGTTATGCGAATTAATTTTCCCCATAAGAAATAATGGAAATAAAATTAATCCGTGCAAGACGCCCAAAAGTATGAAAAAAAATTTTTTTTACCACATGAAATGTTAATTTTAATACACACAAACTGAAAAAGGCATGCACAATTACATGACACTTACTTTTATTGAAGATCTGGTGATGATTGATGGGATGGGAGGAGGGGAGAGCATTATCTTCTTACTGTTTAGAAGGGGAATCCCCTTCCATTAGGACTTGAGGTAGCAAGTCCTTTTCTGGGGTTACTTCCCTTCTTCTTTTAATGCCACTAGGACCAGCTTCAGAGTCACTGGACCTCTGTCGCACAACAAATCTGTCCATAGAGCTCTGTACCTCCCGTTTCTTCAAGACTTTCCTAAAATGGGCCATAACATTGTCATTGAAATAGTCACAAGCACGGCTTGCAACAGCTGTGTCAGGGTGATTTTTCATCTATAAAGGTTTGCAGTTCAAACCACTCTGCACACAATTTCCTTAATCTTTGAAGTAGGCACAATGGATTCCACAACTGGCATAGGCTTCTCAGGGTTAGCCCCAAACCCTTCAAAATCTTTCTTAATTTCCATACTAATTCTCACCCTTTTTACCACAGGGTTGGCACTAGAAGCTTTCTTGGGGCCCATGGTCACTTATTTTCCAGAAACACCACCGAAAACACTGTAATAATACGAAATATTCCGAGTGTATGCTTGGATGTTACCGCGGAGGCTGGCTGGTAAACAATGGGACGGCCGGCACATGTGAGGGCACATTGGACGCGTCTCGGACGAAAATCGGTATGCGGGTTTTTAATCGGTATGCGGGGCAAAAATTTTGCGATAAAAGTAATCGTTATGCGGAAAAATCGCTATGCGATGCCATCGTTATGCGGGGGTCCACTGTACTTGCAAGTGCAGGTAATATAGATACTATTATTGGTATAACGGAGACCTGGTTCAACTTGAAAGACAGAAATGCCTTCTGAATGCAACATACAGGGTTATAAACTATTCCACACTGATAGCATCAGCAGTAAGGGTGGTGGAGTGGCAATGTATGTCAGAGATAATTTAAATTGTTGTTTTAGGCATGATATAAGAATAGAAACATCGAACACAGAATCTGGCTACAGTTTCTCGAGGGTCGTGACAAATTAATTTTGGGTGTGATTTATAGGCCTCCAAACCTTGATAGGGAGTGTGGTAAGCTGTTACAGGATGAAATTCATAAGGCTTCTAGATATGAAAATGTTGTGTTAATGGGAGATTTTAAATTTAGACAAATTGATTGGAACAATATGACAGGAAATCTTGAGTCTAGTGACTTTCTTGATGCAGTTCAGGATTGCTTTTTAGAACAATTTGTGACAGAACCAACTAGAGGAAACAATCTGCTTAACTTGGTTTTTGCCAACAAAGAATCACTAATTAATAATCTTGAGGTTAATGATGAGCTTGGGAAAAGTGATCACAAATCACATAGTTTCAATATATCATGGAATTACCCAGATAACTATAATCAAATCTCTGTCCCAGACTTTCGCTTGGCTGATTTCATGGGACTGAAAAATTACCTGGGTGGGGTAAATTGGGATAACCTGACTATGGGTCAGGTAGGTGATCTTGGTTGCCAATATGACGTTTTTCAGAGCATAGTTCTAGCTCCCCCGAGTAGGGAAGTTAGATCTAACAAAAATGATCCCAAATGGATGAACAATAGATTAAAACATATCATTGGTCAAAAGTGGGGTATATACAGGCATATCAAAAGAGGGGATGGGCAGTTAAGACATCAATATACAGTGGACCCTCGCTTAATGATCACCTCCCAATGCGACCAGTTATGTAAGTGTATTTA